AATATACACCACAAAACAACAAACTGCGCCCAGAAGTGCAAAGTGCTTTTTGTTGCGTTAACATCAGGGTCAGTATTTTAAACTCCCACTTCACCTCCTTAGTAGGTAAGCCAGCACTTCAGCTAAGTCAACGTCCTCCTCTGATGCTGGCTGTCTGTCTCCTTGCTGCCTGTCAGCCGTCCTGCGGCCTCGGCTGCTGCTGCTGCTGCTGCTGCTCTGGTTTGATTCTGCTACTTCAGACTCCTCAGCTGGGTTGCCACTGGAAGAGCCCCTTCCACCAGACATCCCAGAACTGGACTGAGAGCCCATAGACTGAAGAGGGCCTGGCAGGAACAATACACCGACATTAAATGACGGTTTTAGATTTACCTCGAGGAAAACAGGTGACATAAAATACCATGTGTGTGCGTGTGTGAGAGTGGGATAATGGATAGAGAGGAAATGGGAAAACACAAGTTAGGTAACAATAGCTGCAAAACACAGACCTGCATTAGCTAAACTGTCATCAATTCAAGTTACATGCCTAAGCCATTGTACTTCCACTTCTTCAAATTAACAAACTACGTGTCCTGCAGAAAAATCGACCAGCATATTGCTTGTGCGTTAGCTCGTCCTGATAAGGATGCAGAGAAAGATTCTGTTGAGCTAACTAGCTAGCAGTGCTAACAACTTAACGTTACCGTTTGACTGTCAAACGGTCTTCTTGACAGCTCGTCAGTCCAGCTCTTTGTCGTTTCGGTGCGAACTCAACACTTCCGCAGGGTGTCACGTATAACGCTTATAACACACACAGACACACACACACACACACACACACACACACACAAAAGCTGGAGGTTTGACAGCACAGTAGCTTCAGACTGCTAGCAGGGCCAGTTCGTGAATCGCCATGTTGTTTACAAAAGTGTGAAAAAACCCTACGCGTGCCCCTGCCCTTTCACCGTCACGTGACTCGCACCGCCGTCGCTCCTGCAAACTGTACTACTGAGCAGAATTTAACTGAAATATATATTGTATTTGTAGCAACTATACATGTATTATATGTGTGTGTGTACATGGTCCCTGATAAAAAAAACAAACTAAAAAAAAACACAATAAAAACTAATTCAAGGCAGATCAAAATATGGACAGCTAGGATGCCAAGCCAAATTTTCTTAACCAGTTTTAAAGTTTAAGGCGGTGTGTGTGTGTGGGGGGGGGGAGCAAAGCAAAGTCCTCCTGTCACAACTAAGAGGCCATCATGATTCATTCATGGATTGTGTTTGTGGGGGGTTGCGCTTGGTAGGACCGGGGGCCATAATGTCTTACTGCATGTTTGACATAGACTTCATTTATTTAGCTCCTACGAAACGATCTCATCAGCCCCAGTTCCTCTGACATGCCAGGGCCCCCATTGACTGTGTGCATTTTGTTTGTAACGACTTAAATAATTGCACATTTTGCTCTCCAAATTTTGGAACATGCCACGCCACAGCATAACAACTGAAACGTGAATGGCTTCATCATGCATTACTATTACCTCATCCTGGCTCCAACTTGCAGAGGGGCCCTGAGTCAAATGTGATAGTGTCTGCATATGGTGCGCATTATTTATTAAATATGAGGGGTTTTAAATACAAAAAACAATGAATATACAGTGAGCATGTGTAAGGCAGTTTGTTGTGTTTCTCTGTATTATAATGTTGTCATGTGTATTCTGCAGTGGGTATTTTTAGATGAGGGTTTTATAAGGAACCCACAGAGAGCAGGAACAGGAGGTCTGTGCCCAAAAGCCCCTGGCACCCATAGTGGGTTAATCCAGCCCAGCTGACATTGAGAAAAAGCTACCATTATTGTATTAATGCTGTTTGGTTTTCTTCTAAAACTTTTCTGTTCTCAATGGTAGTTTTGAATAATGTTAATGGACGGTGGCTCCAACAATTCTCAATGGGTCTTCTCCCTTTGTCACTGAGGATTTCTATACACCCTTGGTTAAATAAAGGTTGAATAACAACCATCATAGCTCACTACATCTTTTAAAACCCTCTCCATATATCCTTACATTTTCTTGATTAGTGTTATAACACAGATGTAGACTGATAAACCTGCCATAACAGATAGTTATATAATAGAAATCAGATGGGAATGCCGGCATGCAGATATTTGTGACATCAATCACCACGAGAGGAAAGCTCGGTGGCTTTACGTGAAACCAATCATGTTAAATACAAAAACACTGTAGGCTAAATGCACATTACACAAGTGTCAGTGTGGAAATTTGAAACTTCGAGTACACATTAAATGTAGTCTACTTTCTATCCACTGTCTGCCAAGGGACCCTGTGCTGAAACAGAAATGGATGGATTTTTTTACATACGACGCTCAAGCAGACCGTCAAACGGAGTATGAATCCGTATTTGCAGCGCACATTTTAATAAGGACTGTTTTGTGAATTTCTTTTAAAGGTCCATGGCCATTTTCCCGGGAACTAAACGTGGTTTGTGAGTGTCAGAAGTTTCTCCCAGCAACTGCCTGAAGTGGCTTTTTAAACTGTTAGCAACAGCTAAGTTAGCTGGTGTGTATTTAACGCTCGGTGCATAGCTGAGCGACGTAAAGCCACCGAGCTTTTGGTGGTGGTTTGAATGTGAACACCTTCGTTGCAATTGCTTGCTTCTGGTAAGTTATTGTTTTAAAGTAACGTTAAGCTGTGGCGTGCGGGCGCTTAGGACGTAGCGCTGACGCAAGCGCGTTGGTTGTGACGTGTCGGTATTAAAACACGCTCCTGCAACAAGGCCAATCTTTGAATAATTGTGAACTTTTTATTGTCTGTTGCCATTTTTATCTTTAATCTTTTTTTCTGTTCATTTTTAATTACCTATTTGTTATAGGCAGTGTGTCAAATGTGTCTTGTTGTTTACTCCTGGCTTTAAATGTTTACCAAATAAAGTTGCTTAAAACAACAACAACAACAACAACAACAACAACAACAACAACAAGGCATATTGAACCCTAAACCTAACCCATAGATCTGGTTGTGTATACAATAAATACACATATTTAGAAAAAACTCTTCTTTTCTTTTCAAATGCCAAGAAAACATCTACATTAATAATATGTAGACAGATTATGTAGTAAATGTTTTATATGAAGGCTGCACTGTATTGCTTTCGAAATCAGACATGCTGTGTGCGTAATACCAGTGGTTCTCGAAGTGGGGTCTGGGATCCCCAATAACAATAACAGAATGCATGACTGTTTTGGTCATGAGGTTTTATACACTTAAAACATCTTAAAGCAAAAATTCTATCAGATGGGGCCCCCTAGGACAAAATCTAGACAAATGGGAGTCTGTGGTGTAATTTCTGTCAGTTTAGGAGTCCTTAATGTAAAAAACGTTTAAGAACTACTAGATTATACATAAACAAAACTGAAGTAAATGGAGGTTAAATAGGTAAACATGGACTTGGCATTAAGGTCAACACGAGATTAACAAATTGTTAAAATATTTTCTTGGTATATTTTAATTGCATCCATCCATGCAACTTCAACAAATCAAAACTAACTACCATATTGTTTTGTTTTTGTCTTTGATGAAGGGGGCAGATGCGTTATGGTTTAAAAGAGCAGATGCTTCCTGTCAGTGTAACTCAGTGGTCGTGCATGACATTGGCCTCCAGTGTAGTCTTCCTGCGATCAGGACCAGGACTGTGGGGACCGAGCTGTCAGAGCGAAGCCTGGGTGTGCGTGTCCCTCACACTACTCATGATTGCTCTCTGTGTGAAAATGCTCACCCATGTATCACATTCTTCTACATTGCATAATATCTTATTGTGTTTTTGGATCACAGGTGTCTGGACAAAGCTGCAACAGGTGCTGGTGTCGGTACAGCAGAGACAACACCAGCAGAACAATCCATCGGAGGGCTAATTTCAACCTCTCACAAACCTCCTCCATCACCTCTGACTGATTGGTCTGAAATTGAAGTTGATGCCCGATGCGTGACTGTGGTAACTCGTATTTTCTTACAAGCCTCTGAGGAATCAAGTATTGTAGTCACCATAATATTGCAGGAATGTTGGAAGGAGAACGTGTGCTGTACATTGCAGAGTAAACTAATGCCTGCACGGTCTGCATACTGATTACAATTTAATGTGTCTTGCCTTACAAGAGTGTGCTGCAAAACAGAGACTTGATCAGTTAACATAGAGCTTCCGCTCATCTACTTCTGCAATATACCAGTGGCAACATATATCTCATAATAATCAGAAAATGGTTATGTAAAAAAGTTTGGTCAATTTAACAAGATTATTCTGCCATTAGAACTAGATGCTTTGTTGTGTTGTTTTGTTGTACAGAAAACTCATTTTCTGTATTTGAGGGCAGACAGTGTCATTTAGCTCTTGTTAAGTAATATGGATGAGACCGCCATAACCATGCAGACATTAAGTAGGAGAGAGAACACTGTGATGAAACCACTTTGGTTAACTTTAGAAACACAAGATGATGCATTATTTATTTCTGCATCGCTCGCTAGATACACTATATTGCCAAATGTTTTGGGTCACCTGCCTTTACATGCACATGAAGTTCACCTCTTGGGCACTGCCGAAGGAGGCCTTGAGCAAGCCACTGAACCCCTAACTGCTCGGGGCGCCGCACTGAGCGGCAGCCCCCTCACTCTGACATCTCTCCATGCGTTGCTATGGGTCCTGTTTGTGTGCATGTGTGTGTCCTTCGGACCTGTGTGTAAAAAATACTAACAGAGTGAAAACATTGAGTTTCCCCTCGCGGATCACGCAGGAGGCTTGATGATGCGGCAGCCATGTTTGCACGCCTAACTCACCTGTTCAAGAACCATCCAGCTCGTGATTTCAGCATAAAAAGCAGTAGCTTCTGACAGGAATACAGACAGGCAGACACTTAAGACCTCCTGACTGTCCACCAGCTCTTCCCCTGCGAGTGTCTAATATGGCTAATCATCTGTATTTTAAATACAACACAGTAGAAAACAATCAGCATTAACGGTTAAACGACAGTTATGGCACCCCCTTTTATTTCCATTGTTCCCAGTTCCTCTCACCCTCTGCATATTACAGCCATAAAAAAACAACTATTGCATATGGTGCACAGGACAGGTGGACAAAAGCCATTTAGCATCCTGCGTGTAAATTTACAGGTTTTAAATTCAGGAAGTGTCTTGAGACATCTAGGACTCGGTCAACAAGTGACTACAGTGAGCATAAGTAAGTTCAAGTTTTAACATTTTCATAAAATGAGGCTTTGTAATAAATAATAACCTATTTTACAGATAGAATACATACTATTTCGCTGCGACAGTAACAGATCACGTATGTCTTACAAAACATGTTCACTCAGTAGTTTTGCATAGTGCTCTGGGTGATTCATTTTAAGGTAAACAGTCATTTTTCCTTCTACTCGCTGATCTCCAGTCAGACCTATAAAGAAGAAGAACAAAGATTTCTGACTTTAAAAGGACAGTAGGTCACAGCATGGCTAATTGATAACCTACTTGATGAATACAATACGTGATAGTGAATATGTTATATTTATATAACGGACTGGGCAGTTTGACAGCTTTGAGCTCACCCAGCTTTCGAGCCGTTCTTTCAATCTTCTCCAAGGCAGACTGCACATCTCCTCCCTCCGGAACGAGGACCTCTATCTCTCCCACATGGTAGCCAAAGTCAGCTTGGTCGAGATCTATCTGCACCCCTTCCTCCTCTAAAGTGAAGGACCGCCGCACTGTTGTGAACTCTGCAAAGCATACCAGATTCATTTTGCTCAGCCAAGATTCATCCTCCTGTGAAGAGTTTGTCTCTCTGTCAGCACAAATGTCTTTTATGACCTCTTTCACTCTCAGCTGGATTTCAGGCAGATTGGTTATCTCCTTGTAGCGAGTACACAGCGCTGCCTGAGCTTTAGATCGTTCTCCACCAGTCCCTTCTGTCACGTTGACTGTCGCTGGGCACTTGAGCTCCCAGCATCCTTTACGTTTACGCAGCCACACGTCTCTCAAAGTCAGGTCAAACTTGGGGGTGTCAAAGTACTGGTCACGAAACTGCAGCTGACCAACACACACTGCTGGGTAAAAGAAGTGGGAGGAAGAGAGAGAGATGATTTCCAAAATGGATAAATAAATATAAAAACACCAACAAGGTTGATACAGATAATTAAACTTCATTATTAACACGAGACAGATGGCCAGTGTCACTACAGTTACAGAGTAAACCACAGCAATTAGTGTCATTAAATGTTGTAAAAGTCCTTCAGTGACCATTTGCAAGTCATTGTGGGTCACGGCATCAGTAAAATGCCTCTATTCTAAATTTAACCATGCGTAAATGTGTTGTATACAAATTAAACACGTACCCCCGATCTCCTCCAGTGTTTTCAGAATGTCAGCACTACAGAAAAATTTTCTTTCCACTTCCACACTCATCTGAAATGCAGCAAAATAAACAAGTTACAAAAAGCTAAATTCACTTTATCCTGCTTTAAGACTGGTATTAACCTTAAGTGACCGAATAGGCAGGTGTAAGTTTTTTTCATTTGTAAAAAGGCTTTTGTCATACCTGTCTATTTTAGCGCCAACACTAACTTTCTGGCACCACAAGATCTAGGCTGAAAGTTAATAGCTCTTCATAAACCTTTTGAATATAGTCTACAATACCTAATGGTGGTAACTTAGTACTGCTAAGTACTACTTTACTTGACTACACCATTTTATGATACTTTTTTTTTTTGAACGACTATCTTTCAGGGAAATATTGCTTTACTTAAGTTAGATTTATTTAACAGCTTACTGGTTCCTCTAACGTTACATATTAAGATATACATACATAAAACCTTCTGTACCTCTGCAGAAGACATTTTTTACTGCATGATTTCTTCTTGTAAAATAGTATTTTTATATTGTAATATTACTTCAGTAAACTGTGTGCTTACTTCTCCCACCACTGCATTTAACGTTTTTCTCACAGTTCTCCAATGATTAGCTTGGTTGGCTTTGCGTTTTGTAGCATACATTTCATAGCTATTCTGTTTCATGCACGATAGTAAACTGTCAATAAAAGCACCAAGCTGAACTGCTATTATGTCAACTATATTATTATAAAGTAATACGGCAGTAGCTCCCGTAGTCGCACCTGCAATTATAATCAGGCTCATTCAGCCCAAGCAGCTGCTGCAGTCCTAAATGAACTACAAGTCAAAATCACCTAAATGAACCACAGAGTTTTAAAAACCAACACACACGTAGCGGACTGCATTCCCACACACCTTCACGAGTCAAGTCCTTAAATCCAGATAATTCGGCATCAAGAATTGAACGACAGGTCAACCCGGGCAGCCCCTACACGTCAGCGGAGTTTATTTTGCACAGGCGCAATTAGAGACACCTATCAGTGTGTTCAGGAACATCACTTCCTGTCCCAGTAACGCAGGGGCATACAGATGGTGCAATTTTAATCCCCTCTGCTTCATAAATATTTATTCCACATACTCGACTGTTGATAGTGCGCCACACCTATCATTTGATTGAAAACATGTCATAATTCGTGCGGGTGGTGCTGAGCGGAGCCTTCGCGGTCACATCTCCATTATTCAGCCAGCCTTAATTAACTCGTCACACTCTTTGCGACAACCCTGGTTGGCAGAATGGGGACTCATTTTTTATTCACCTTTTAATGTGAGAACGAGGAAGGGTTTTCTATTAACGGGGGATTACATGTAATCTAGGCATCGGCATACTTTTTTTTTTTTGGAAAATTATCTGTCGTGCATTTTTCTCTGCTCTTATCTTTATTGCTCAATAAGTAATCTGCGTTTCAGCATACATTAATAATATCTCCTATCTTCGGGGGTTACATAAGGGATTTGATAGCCGTGTCTGTCCCTACTGAATGTCAGCAATCAGCCTTGGGGGGAGCTGTGGTCTGTTTACTAGAGGGAAGAGGGGAAGGAGAGAGGGATAGGGCGAATGAAGGGAGGGGGAGAATAGGAGAGAGAGAGAGAGAGACACAGACAGAGAGAGAGAGAGAGAGAGAGAGAGAGAGAGAGAGAGGGAGGGCAGGCAAGAAAACTTTTCACTTCTGAGGAGCCACGGAGGAAGCGTGTGTGTGTGTGCGTGCTGGAGCGGCGACCATGCAGGTAAAAAACGCATTAGCTAATTGCTCTGAACTTAATTAAACGTCATTCGCGATCGGTTAATTGTGCTGATTTAAGCGGGGAGAGTGGCCTGCGACCGGTAGAAGATCGAGCATACGACGGATTGTGACCCATACTAATCCGATCCCTTATAGAAATCCAACATTAAATCCCAAACTTTTTTCTGCCTCTCTCGCCTCTTTTCGCCTGCTCTCCCTACACCACCCCCATCGTCGAAGCGACCGCGGCGCACGTACTCCCTCCAAGTAGCTTTTTTAGCGTTTAATTCTTTCGCCAATTACGGCTCGAAGCTTTTAAAATGATAGGTTAAATGGCCATGTGTTGCACCGTAAGTGTTTAAGGTATGGATTTGGGCGCTAGGACGCGTCAAAACGGGGTCTGCTGGACGGCAGGGAGGAGGGGGTGCGAGTGTTTTCTAACACATCTGCAAGCGGAGCCCACGTTCATTAATTAAATGGCTTTAGTCCGGCTAGGCCTCAATTTGCGCTGTTGAGCAGCAGGCGGCGGGCGGTGCAACACTAGATGCCCGATTGGCAGCCCACAATCAGAGGGGTAAGGAAATAACTCGAGGCCGAGGTTTGGGATATAAAGCCTAGTGAGTGTGTTTTCTCTCCTGGGTGAACTCAGTCGGCGGATCGGAGCTGCAGTTCCCACCTGGACCGGGCAGAGTTTGTAGGGGAGTGGAGACTAGCCAGTTGAGAGACAGTTTGAGGAGCGGTTAATTATCTCTGCCTGCTAACAGGCTAGCTAGCAAAGTGACACGACTGTTATTAGCTCAGCCCCTTCTTGTTTATTAATTTAGTGGACCGTCCAGCCCTCACTGAGAGCTAGCAGCGAGATTATGCTGACGCCTGCCCCTGTCTTTTTCAGTTTCAGAGAAGTGGCTGGCCATCACTGCAGGATTATTTTCAGTAAACTAACAGCTAACCAGCCTTTCCAGAAACGCGACTGTAATGCGACGTTACGGGGGGGCTTCTCAACCTAGCTTGCTAGCTAATTGATTCGTCTCTGGTCGGCATAGCTAATTAGACCGCTCATTAATTAGCCCACTGTGAGCAGACGTACGTCAATCTAGTTATATCTTTGCTTTTAATTATGGAACTCGCGACGAGGGGCCGTTAAACACGATATACTTTGCAGATATAGACTTGTCGAAATATTATCTGATCAAATATCCCTGCTAGCTTGCTAATTGGCATGACGAGGAAGTGAGGACTGTAGCTGTGTTGGTATTTCTCCTCATGGGTATGAATTGCTGTCTTGGTCGCCTCTTGGATTATGAATGCTTGTAGCTGTGTGGTGAAATCCGGACTAATGTTAGTGGTCTATTTTGATTTCCATTAAGGCATGAGAAGAACAGTTATTTGATCGTGGGTGTCGAGCAAATGCAGCATGATCTCGGATCGCATTTAATATATTGGCCACATGTTCCTTATATTGGTCAAAACTGGAGGGGGGGTATTATGTTTTGGAGATGCAATATACTCATTGTAAGCGCATGTCATGATTTGCATTGAGTGTTACTCCGGTATATTCTGCGTTAAATACATTTCCTGTAATATTGAATCAGTTTCTTGAAAGTTACGTTGAATGCAAAGAGGCATGAAACAATGGCTCTTTTATCTATGAGCCGCTTGAAGTTTACAACAGTGCAGTGTAAAACGTATTGAAAGCATTAGATGGATACTCCTTTACATTACAAAGGTGTCATTTGTCAACAGTTGCATTATTGTGTAATTTGATATGACCATTGCAGACAAAACGTTGGGATTGTCCCTGCAGAACATGGTTAATGTTGTAAGGAAATCAGGCATGAAACCTGAAAGACCTGGTTTAGGATTAGTATAGTAAAGTTAAATATATCTAGCTAAGGTGTGTAACCAACAAGGTATAACAGTATACTCTTATGTTGGTGGGTGCAGCTCCCCTTTTGCTCTTGGTCACATGAAATCCCTTCCACAAAATTACTTCCTTCCTTACGTCAGATTTTCCTTTTTTTTTTTTTTTTTTTTTTTTTGGTATATGAAATACTTCTATACAACATTTGTGATAAATAATAGTCCCAGAAAGAGTAGGATTCTTTTAACATCCTTTTTTGTTGTTAGGAGGAGTCTGGAGAGACAGTGAGCAGTGAAAGCAATGGGGTGGCAAAGTGGCTGTGTCCCCTGTGCCAAAAAGGACAAACCGACAGATCCTTGCTGTCTTTACATCTCACTGAGCAACACAGCGTACTTCCATCTTGCGTTGACAAACTGCTGGACATTGTAAGTATGGCTGGGCAGAGTGGCCAGAATACATCATAAGATTGTCAGTGTCATAATCTCTGGAGTTCACACAATTATGTCAGTAATGTGTCATGTGTCAGTAAGCCCACGTGTTGCTGGCTGATATACAGCGGTTGGACAAAATATCAAATGCCTTGTATCTTTGCAGTAAATACAAATTCTTCTTTTGACCATCTAAGATGTTGCTTCACTGTGGTCGTTATTTTTTTTTTGAGGTAGTCGAGGTGAAAAAGGCCTGAGAGTCGGTGGCTGGGACATCGGTAACAAAATTATGTGATGTGGCAAGTTTGCAAAAGGAAAAGAGGAACATTAGTCACAAGTAGACTTTCACTAACATTTTAAAATAGCTCTTAACAACACGAGTTTTACCAAATCAGTGTTCACTGCTGCGCTACTGTTAAAATTAGTTTGTTTTGTCCACTCTTGTTATATGTAATAGTGTATGAGAAAGGATCCTTTTATTAAGCTCCTTGTTTGTGCACCATTTTTTAAAAAGAAAGGTTAAACAAATATGTTAATCCGTTGATGATTCCATGTGTAAATGCTTGTTAATAACATACGGGAATAACAGGTTATTACAAGGTAATAACCTAAGTAATTGCGCATTTAATTTCATGTGTTTTTATTCAGAGATCATATGAACAAAATACGATTTCCATCTAAACAGAAATGAGCTAATGCATATCCTAATAAAATTCATGTTTAACCACAGTGATGGAAATTATACACTTAATTCTGCATAATCTGTTAATAAATTAGTAATTTGAATTGAAACTTGAGGGTGTTTTTCTGTTTTCATGACTAGTTTATTCAAATCCTCTTTTGGAAGTCAGCCCTATAGTATCAGTGTTCTTTATTTTGATAGTTTGGATGTGTCATTGTTTGGATTAATAAGTTACCAAAGATGTCACTTTGAAAGTATTTGCTGAGTAAACATAGTCTTTGAAAAAAGCACCCCAATGCACACACTATTTGTAATGGGGTCCATGACAATTTAGTATGTAAAGTGTTAAGAAATGGAGGGCATTTCAGGGATGAATTGATCAAAGACAGTTTAATTTATGCCTTTAGGGTAATTTGCTAATTAAAGGTTAGCGAGGGTTGCTATGTGTAATATAACCACACATCAATGTGTCACGCCCAAATGCTGTGCCGCTCAAAAGCAGCATAGCATTTGGCTCATCTGAAAGGAGCTGTTGCAGAGTGAAGTTTGCTATGGGACTTTTGCTGACGCTCTCCTTTCATTTTCTTTTAACAGGCTGTTCTAAAACAGGGGGCCAGCGGAGAACAAGAGGACAAAGGTGCTCAAACGTCTTCAGGTGAGTATGAAAAAAAAGTTTGGAAAAAATTTACATTACATCTGCAATGATCCACATAAATGTTTTTCTTTGTTATAATAACACTGATTGGGTGTATAATACTGACTTTTCATTAGTTGCCAAACCCAATGTACTTATGTGTATTAGTATAATGTGGATCTGTGGCGCTAAAGTTTTTATATATTTTAAAACTGGGTAAGTTTTTGAAGTGGAACCAAAGAAATACTTATACTATAAATTGCGTGGGTTAAAAAGGTTAATATTGTCCAATAAATTGTTTCAGTATGCAAATGTGTACTTCTTTTATCAGGTATCACTCCATTTACTAGAACATGAAAGTTAAAGATCTGTATTGATTTCATCAGATGCTGAATCTTCACAACTGAAGCACTCTGAAGACGTCAGTTCAGACCCCTGCCAGTCTAGCGAGAGTTCAGACGCTACCCAGACGCTTGGAGACAAAGAGATGGAGGAAGAGAGAATAATGGAACAGGAGGCAGTTGAAGCGGAGCCAGAGCCAGAAGAGGAACAACTCACAGGAGCCAAACAGCGAAATGCAACTGAGAACGCAGAAATCCCAGATGCTAGTGAAAAGTCAGTTGGTAAAAATGGTGTGCCAGCTGAAAATAACACCCGCTCGTTC